TATAAGGCTTCGCCCTCTAAGGCTATCGCTATTAGGTTAAGGGCGAAGCAGGATGTAGTCTATGCCCCACTGGTCCATCCGTTACCAGAAGCACAAAACTTGGATATTCAGTACTGAATGTGTCAGAGAGGAATGGGAGCACAAGACATCTCCTCAAATAAAAACGAATAAAAGAACAGAGGGAAGACCAAGACTGTCAAATGTCTTCACTGAAATTCCTCCGTGGCAACGCCGAGAGGTTGAAATTCCTCTGGGTGCTGTTGCGCTTTGATGTTCCCCGGGGGATTCAACCCAGAGGAGACCATACGCGGTGTGCCACAGCCTCACACAGCCAGTTGGACAGGCGCTGTGCAGATAGATGCTGCCCTAATGAGCCCGATCTCTATAATGCACAAACAGATGCTGGGACCTGCGTAAAGCCGCCGTGCGTGCAATATAGCATGACAGCGCCGCCGCACAGGAACAGAGGAGATGAGAGTGGCTTCTTCCTCTGATGTGTGAGGAGGAGGAAGAAGCCATCCAAAGTTATCACTCTCGATCTAAAAGAGCTTGTGATCACCTTTGAAATAAAAGCCGGGTTAGGGCGCAAAACAGCTGAGCTGCCATCTCCTTGAATTTCCTGTGTTTCGGGATGATGGTTATGTGGAAGTAAGCATCCTTCATGTCTATGGAGGTGCACCAATCTCCCTGGTGAAAACACTCCATTACCTGTTTTGATGTCAGCATATGAAAAGGTCTTTTCATTATCACCCTGTTGAATGCTGACAGATCTAGGATGGGTCTCATCCCCGACAGTCTTTTTTGGGATAAGAAAATAACGATTTTCTTCCCCTTGAGGAACCCTGGAGATCGCTCTCTTTAACAGGAGTTCCTGTAGCTCTGACTGGAGCGCAAGACATTGTTCTTGGGATGACAGGAGTGTTTCCTGAATCCCCTCGAACTGCGGGGGGGGTAAGGCAAATTGCAGAGAATACCCTCTGCTGATCAGCCTGCTCATCCATCCGTCCATTAAACATAGTCGCCTCCACTCTGAGCACCGCTCTGAGAGTGGGCGTAGCTGTTCTTGCTGTGCTGTGGTAGTCATGGTGACAAGCCATGCCAGAGCCCTTGCCGCCGTTGCCTGTGAAGCAACCCAAGGGGGGCCCCCCCCCGAAAGGGCTGTGAAGGGGTCTCCACACACTGCACCTCACACCGGCTCATAAACAGGACCCTGAGGCGTGTTCATGCTCCAACTCGCGGAGGTGTGTGCAGTGCTATTCACCTTGCGCGTAATAACCGCGCTAGGTTTATTACGACTGTGTGTAGGCACAACTGGGACGGAGGAAAAACCGCGCTGCTTGCTACCCGACAGGATAGAAGTAGCCGATTTAAATGTCAAGCCCTGCTGTCTATTAACCGNTTGTAATTATTGATGCATAAATGTGTTCATCCATTCAATGTGGCATCTATATAATGGGGTTAATGTATTATATTAGATAATAATACAATAGGCTACATTATAATATATGATATGATAATTATATTTTAGTTTTATTCATTTCTTATTTCATAGTTTTTCATCATTTTGATTTTTATCTTTGATTTTATCTTTGATTGAATTAATCTGTGTGAATCTGTGCTGTCCTGTTTTTCATCCTTACCCTGTTGCTGTTTGAACTACTGAATTTCCCCATGGGGATTAATAAAGGTCCATCTTATCTTATCTTAATAGGAAAGGCAAATTGCAGCAAATACCCTCTGCTGATCAGCCTGCTCATCCATCCGTCCATTAAACATAGTCGCCTCCACTCTGAGCACCGCTCTGAGAGTGGGCGTACCTGTTCTTGTTGTGCTGTGGTAGTCATGGTGACAAGCCATGCCAGAGCCCTTGCCGCCGTTGCCTGTGAAGCAACCCAAGGGGGGCCCCCCCCCGAAAGGGCTGTGAAGGGGTCTCCACACACTGCACCTCACACCGGCTCTCATCCTGTCTCTGTTTAGGAGAAGGCTCATAAACAGGACCCTGAGGCGTGTTCACGCTCCAACTCGCGGAGGTGTGTGCAGTGCTATTCACCTTGTGCGTAATAAACGCGCTAGGTTTATTACGACTATGTGTAGGCACAACTGGGACAGAGGAAAAACCGCGCTGCTTGCTACCCGACAGGATAGAAGTAGCCGATTTAAATGTCAAGCCCTGCTGTCTGTTAACCGACTGGTTAAATACCGCAGGCTTATACAGCGAGCCTTGCTGCTTGCTAACCGACAGATTAGAAACAGCCGGCTCAAACGGCGAGCCCCTCTGTTTGTTAACCGATAAATTCAAAACAGAAGGATTATGCAACAAGTCCTGCTGCCTATTAACCGATAGATTAATGGCAGCCGGCCTGACTAGTGTGGGGGATATGTGAGACACAGTTGCTACAGACACACTGTTGGAATTTGAATCGTTTTTATTCATAATTCTCTCTTCAAACATAACCCCCCCAAAGAGTCATCTTCGGTTCTGCTTCCTCGGAGGCTCTCTCGGAGGAGCAGACCAGGAGCGGGGGTTCTTCGTTCCCCTCTGACTCGTCGCCTGCAGATCCCTTCTCTGTGGCGGAGGAGCGGAGACCTGGGACGGAGCCCCTGCAGCTGCCGAAGGGCGATACTGACGCCGTTGCTGATCTCGCCGCTGCCCGCGATGCCCCCGCTGAGACTGTTGCGGGTGCTGCGGAGTGCTGTCGTTGCTGTCGCTGCTGCCGCTGAGGATGTTTGTCCTGAAGCCAGCTAGCGTGACGCCTTATGTCGTCTGCCTGTTCTGCCGCAGACTTCATAGCCTCCACCATGGTGTGAAACTGGGGACCGAACAGTCCGTCCGGACTGATTGGAGCCTCTAGTAAATCCTTTCCTGCACCTTCCGGAATAGCCCCCTGCTGTAACCAGAGGTACCGGTGGGCCTGCGTCGCCCCACAACGCAATCCGCGCCTGCGAGACTGCGACTGACGCGCACAGGGTAAGTGCAGTACTAGCCGCTTTACCTATACTCCTCAGCCTCCACTGAGGACATGGTCTTCGACTGCTCCTGGAATGCACACTGGTGTATGCGGTCGGTCTGCCGGGCGACAAACCGATCTTTTGGGGCAGCCAACATAGGTTGCCGTCCGGTAACCGTGCTGGCCTGCTTAGCCCCAAAGAACGCCGTGAGGTTCGGCTCTAGAGGAGGCACGGTCGGAAACCCCACATCCGTGAACNCAAGGTTGGCTGAGTTACGAACGGAAAAAACCTAATGCTGGCTTTGAGAATATCTTTCAGGTTAAGTGAATAATCATTGGTCTGTAGAGTAGTAACTACGCCTCATTGTCGATTCATGAAGGGTAGTTTACGGACTGTTACTCCTTCTATGAGAGGCGCAGTTCATCTAAATCTTTCGCTCAAGGCGAATACGATGGCCAACACGTGTGCAGTACTGTATATCTAGGATACTGGACGTAGTAACACGAACATAAACAACGACATCTGGGTACGTTCCGTATGACGTTAGGAGGTAGCGCTATATCTACTCCCTGGAGACAGAGAGTTTTCTTCAGCACAATCATGGGACAGCCTGAAGTGGACCCGACCAAGAAGCGCAACACGTCATCACACAAAAAGCATTGGTATGGAGTGCGTAACCGCAGTTCATATATCTAGCATAAGATCGTCTAACAGCTGTGAATCGCTATTGGTAATCGTCACAGGATGTTCTACAACACAGTGCTTCGTTCCTTACCATAAGCAATAGAACACATCTGAAATAGCCAGCGTGTCAATTCGCGTCCGTGTAAAATGAACGTAACACATTCCCAGGGAAATACACCATTTAATTAATCAATATTCATCAGTCGGGACGAGATAGCCATTAATTTATCTGTCTATTTACTAATTGATAGACGAGTCTCACTATATAAAAACATTAATCGAGGGAAAAAGCACATGTCAGTTGCCCCAGAAAGATATACGTAATAAAATCCTTACAGTTACAGATCGATTCTAACACTATTATTCTGAGTGTTATAAATAATGCAGCATTGTACAAATGTAAAGAGATATGCAATAGGACATGGGTTTGTTTAACATTGTCAGCCCATGTGCAGTTGTGATTCTCACTATACAGATCGACGGTGAAATGACAGAGGATCGTTGAAATGCTCCAGAGTGTCCCTCAGTGCGGAGGTGGCATTCCTCAGATGCCAACACGAAACAGGCTGTACATCGTTAACAGCGGTGTAACAGCTTTGGAATGCCATGATCTTTCTATTACAACAGCGACATTGAGAGTCGGATGACAATGGCTACGACTCAGCAGCTAGTATGGGAGAAAGAAGATCTGTAAAGTTTTCTGCTCAGCAACACAGAGGCACTGGAAAGCTTATTTCACAAGCGACTGTCACGTCTGAATGCATGGTCCATCGCCAATAAAATAGATGACAAAACACATTTAAACACACTTAAGCCCTACAATACACTAAAGAGTCAAAATGCAGCGGCTCGCAGGTGTTCAACATGCCAGAACATTCCCACAGCACGCCGCTCTTCACTACCTTCACTGCTTCCACAGTAAACAGCCCAAGAATACACTTCAAGCACTGGTATTGTACTCTGGGTACCATGCTGCGACTGTTAATGGTCTTGCTTCTACATCAAGGACAGTGTTAAACCGTACACCCCAGCAGTGCAATCCAGATCTGCATCAGCCAAACAGCATCCGCTGCACCCGACTGCGAGGGGGACCCAAGTTCCCATCAGGCAAAAATCACGTGGCTGCTACCTGACTGCCAAAATGGTCGAATGATGCTCCCCATGAAATTCAGGACACAGAAAAGCTGGGGTTAACGTAATGTAACCCAAGCTTCTATGAGTATAGCCGCAGCCTCTAAAGGCCTATCGCTATTGGGTAATGCTCTCGCACGTGTGCAGCACTGACAGAGTTTAATCCACGCCCACCTATGACGTGGGCCCCACCTCCGGGCCCACTTTCCGTATAAATAGGAAGTTAGGCCTACTACGATCTACTTCCCACACAAACAGCTTTTCTTCAGCTATTGCGCCGGAGCCAGTGGGGCCCGACCCTTACAGGGCTTGCGCCTATACTCATAGAAGAGCTGGGTTTTACATTACTGTAACCCCAGTTCTATATCGTATAAGGCTTCGCCCTCCTAAGGGCTATCGCTATTTGGATTAAGGGCGGAAGCAGGATGTGTTAGTTCTACGCCCCACTGGGTTCTCGTCCGTACCAAGAAGCACAAAACACACCTACTCAGTTAATTAACCCATGGTCCATTTCGTCCTGCGTAAAATGGAGCATCACATTCCCAGGGAATATAAGCATTTAAAAAATGAATTATTCTCCATTAAGGGAACGAGGGTAGGCTTACTTATGCTACCTGTTCGTTTATAAGAGATAGGAGAACCGAGTCTCCTTTAATAAAAACGATCAAGAGAGGGGGAAAAGGCAGCTCTCTAAGTGCCTACCGGCAGAGAGGGCACGCAATTAAAAAACCCCGACATTACTCATTCTGACAGGCTATTATTCAAGCACTGAATGTGTCAGAGAGGAATGGGAGACATCAAATAAAACGAATAAAAGACAGAGGTGAACAAGATGCAGCCGTGCATGTCTCCACTGTCATTCTCCGTGCAACGCCGTAGAGAAACTTCCCCTGGTGCTGTGCGCTTTAATGTTCTCCGGGGGATCCAACCCAGAGGAGACATTACGCCTGTGACACCGCCTCACAATAGCCAGTGTGACAGGCGCTGTGTAGATAGAGGCTGCCCTAATGAGCGCTCTCTATTAATGTACAAACAGACGCTGGGATTTGCGTAAAGCAGCCGTGCGTGCAATATAGCCTGCCAGCGCGCGCACGGGACAGAGGAGATGAAAAGTGGCTTCTTCCTCCGATATGTGAGGAGGGGAAAGAAGCCTTCAAGGTTATCACTCTTGATCTAAAAGAGCTTGTTATCACCTTTGGCATAAACGCCGGGTTCGGGCGTAATACAGCTGAGCTGCCATCTCCTTGGATCTGGAGACACGACGGAGCCACCGAGAGAGCAGACAAGTCACTCACCCTTTTAGCTGATGTCAGAGCTAAGAGCAGAGCTACTTTGACTGACAAAAACTTCAGGGGAACCTGATCTAATGGTTCAAAAGGAGCTTTACCCAGTGCGCGCAGCACTAAAGCCAAATCCCATTGAGGCGCTAAAGCGCGTGACACCGGTCTGACTGTGTCTCTGTACTCCTCGTAGGAAACGTTTTGTCAGAGGGTGACTAAACACCGTGCTGATCTCAAAACCTACGTGGCATGAAGAAATGGCAGCAGCATATGTTTTTATCGTGCTATAGGCCAAATTCCTGTCCAGCAACAGCTGGAGGAATGACAGCATGTGAGGCAGGGGACACGTAACGGGGGTCCAAGCCTTTCCCTACACACCAACGCTGGAACGCTGTCCATTTGGCTGTGTAAGACTGCCCTGGTGGACGCGGCCCTAGATCCCTGAATAGTACTCACAACATCTTTAGAGAGGCCAAGCCTCTCTAAGTGTTCCCGCTCAGGGGCCATGCCCACAAACGTTGGCCTAACACTGGATGACCGCTGATCGCTCCCTCCACCTGGAGAGAGCATCCCCCCGCCACGGAATTTCCCACGGTTCCCTGACAGGAGATGCTGTATGCAGGGAACCAGGACGCTCCCGTGCGCTCCGGGGCTATTAAGACCGCTATCAGTCGCTCCTCCTGCACTCGGTCCAGGAACCGAGGGATCAGAGGGACTGGTGGGAAAGCGTACAGTAACACCCTGGGCCAAGGTCTGTGCGCGAACGCGTCCACCCCCAGAGGGGGGTGATCCTGCCTTCTCAGGGAGAACCAGAGAGCACATTGCGCGTTCCCGCGTGCAGCGAACAGATCCACTTCCGCTCTTCCGAACCTGCTCCATACCTGGGAGACCAGCTCGGGGTGGAGGCTCCAGTTCCCTTGTCGAGGACCTCCTCTGGACATGAGGTCTGCCCCTCTGTTCAGCTCGCCGGGAATATATACTGCTCTGACAGAGAGTACGTGTGTGCGCGCCCAGCACAACAGCCTCCTGGCTGTGTCCAGCAGCTGCGCTGATCGTACACCTCCCTGACGATTTATGTATGCTGCCGCTGCCTTGTTGTCCGTTCGAATCAACACATGATGATTCCACAGCAACGGGGCGAAGTGCCGGATTACTCTCCATATGGCGAGTAATTCCAGCGCGTTTATATGAAGGGACATGTGAGGCGGCCACTGTCCCCCCACTGCCTGCGACATGCATGTTCCTCCCCACCCTGAGAGCGATGCGTCTGTAAACACCGAGGTGTGTGACGTCACTCTGCCAAGGGGAACCCCCACTGACAGGACGTGGGGATTTTTCCAGTAGGTCAGATCTAAACCTACGGACAGAGGAATGTACACCATGCGTCTCTTCTGATGCACGGGGTCGATGCGCAGGCGAATAAACCACCTCTGAAGTCTCCTCATGTGAAGGAGACCCAGGGGAATCACCACTTGACCAGCTGACATCATGCCCAACAGCTGCATCACGGAGAGGGCTGTCACCACCCTGCCGGGTGTGACGCGCCCGAGGAGAGCTGTCAGATCCTCCACTCTCCGCTGTGAGAGTCGTGCTCTCATGCGGGCTGAGTTGAATTCCACCCCCAGATATATGATAATCTGGGAGGGAAGAGGACAGCTCTTCTCCCAATTGATTATGAAACCCAGGCTTGACAGGTGAGATACAAGTTGTACCGTCTGTAAAGCAGCTTCCTCTCTGGAGCGGGCCAGCAATAGCAGGTCGTCCAGATAAAATAACACTCTCATCCCTCTTCTGCGTAGCGGCTCCAGCGCCGTCTCCACACACTATGAAAAGTGCGTGGAGCCAGAGAATATCCGAACGGCAGTCGATTGAACTGGTACGCTATTCCCTGGAATGAAAAACGCAGGAATTCCCTGTGTTTTGGGATGATGGTTATGTGGAAGTAAGCATCCTTCAGGTCTATGGAGGTGCACCAATCTCCCTGGTGAACACACTCCATTACCTGTTTGATTGTCAGCATATGAAACGGTCTTTTCATTATCACCCTGTTGAATGCTGACAGATCTAGGATGGGTCTCATCCCCCCGGTCTTTTTCGGGATAAGAAAATAACGGGAGAAAAACCTTCAATTTTCTTTCCCCTGAGGAACCCTGGAAATTGCTTTCTTTAACAGGAGTCTCCGCAGCTCTGACTGGAGCGCAAGACACTGTTCTTGGGATGACAGGAGCGTTTCCTGAATCCCCTCGAACTGCGGGGGGGGAAGGCAAATTGCAGAGAGTACCCTCTGCTGATCAGCCTGCTCATCCATCCGTCCATTAAACATAGCCGCCTCCACTCTGAGCACCGCTCTGAGAGCTGGCGTACCTGTTTTTGTTGTGCTTTGGTAGTCATGGTGACAAGCCATGCCAGAGCCCTTGCCGCCGTTAACCGTGAAGCAACCCAAGGGGGGCCCCGCCCTAAAGGGCTTTGAAGGGGTCTCCACACGCTGCATCACACACCGGCTCTCAACCTGTCTCTGTTTAGGAGAAGACTCATCAACAGGACCCTTAGGCGTGTTCACGCTCCAACTCGTGGAGGTGTGTGCAGTGCTATTCACCTCGTGCGTAATAGCCGCGCTAGGCTTAATACGACTGTGTGTAGGCACAACTGGAACAGAGAAAAAACCGCGCTGCTTGTTACCCGAAAGGATAGAAGCAGCCGATTTAAATGTCAAGCCCTGCTGTCTATTAACCGACTGGTTAAATACCGCAGGCTTATACAGCGAGCCTTGCTGTTTTCTAACCGACAGATTAGAAACAGCCGGCTCAAACGGCGAGTCCCTCTGTCTATTACCCGAAAATTAAAAAACAGATGGAATATGCAATAAGTCCTGCTGCCTTTTAACCGATAGATTAATGGCAGCCGGCCTGACTAGTGTGGGGGATATGTGAGACACAGTTGCTACAGACACACTGTTGAGATTTGAATCATTTTTATTAATAATCCTCTCTTCCCACATAACCGCCCCAAAGAGTTATCTTCGGTTCTGTTTCCTCTGAGGTTCTCTCGGAGGAGCAGACCAGGAGCGGGGGTTCTTCGTTCCCCTCCGACTCGACGCCTGCAGATCCTGTCTCTGTGGCGGAGGAGCGGAGACCTGGGACAGAGCCCCTGCTGATCTCGCCGTTGCCCGCGCTGCCCTCGCTGAGACTGTTGCTGGGGCTGCGGGTGCTGTCGTTGCTGTCGCTGCTGTTGCTGAGGACGTTTGTCCTGAGGCCAGCTAGCGTGACGCCTTATGTCGTCTGCCTGCTCCGCGGCAGACTTCATAGACTCCACCATGGTGTGGAACTGTGGCCCAAACAGTCCGTCCGGACTGACTGGAGCCTCCAGCAGATCCTTTCCTGCACCCTCCGGTATATTCCCCTGCTGTAGCCAGAGATACCGGTGAACCTGTGTCGCCCACGTCGCAATCCGCGCCTGCGAGACTGCGACTGCTGCGCACAGGGTAAGTGCAGTACTAGCCGCCTTACCTATCTCCTCAGCCTCCACTGAGGACATAGTCTTTGACTGTTAGGACATTTCCACCATGGAGTTTTGAGAGCAACGCTATGTTGTTCGCCGCCGCTGACGCCTGAAACGCACACTGGTGCATGCGGTCAGTCTGTCGGGTGACAAACCGATCTTTGGGGGCAGCCAACAGGGGTTGCCGTCCGGTAACCGTGCTGGCCTGCTTAGCACCAAAGAACGCTGTGAGGTTCGGCTCTAGAGGAGGCACGGTCGGAAAATCCACATCTGTGAATCCCTCCACTCTCGTGAGCGGCACGTATGTCCCTATCGGAGCCCTGATTGCTCCACTGAGACTGCCAAGGCACACGAGGGGATAGGCCCTTTGGTACTTCCTTATGGGCCGGAAGCGGTGCCAGATCGGGTCACTCCTAACCCTGTGACACCCGGAGAACACCGCCGCGACATATCATCCGGCGGTGAGCTCTTCCTGAGCTAGGGAACGAGGAGATTTCTCCAGGCGGCCGCCTTAGATATAATCTCCGGAAGTTCTAGGAGGATCCCCGCCCATTCGATAGCCAACGCCGTGGCGTCGAGATAGGGATCACTGGGTCGTACACCGGCCCTGCAGCGGGCCCCATACCTCTCTCCTCCGTCCAGAGGGGACC